CCCTGGCCAAGCCACCCTCCCCCCAACCCCAACACACACACTGCTGAGCATGCTCTGGGCTGACTGGCTGCCCAGGCATGCAGACACAAAGCCCCCCACCTTCACAAGGATCCCCCCCACCTTCAGTCCCTCTCAGCTCCTTGCAGCCCCAGGGGCTGGCACCCTGCCCTCTGCACCCCCTGCAGTGACTGTGGGTGGGGGCCTGTGGCCAGGGGCCAAGACAGGGTACCTAGGTGGAAGGCTCTGTGGAAAATGACGGGTGGCCTTCCTGAGCCAGGGGGTCAGGGAATTCTGGGGAGGGGGGCCCAGCCCCCGGCTGTGTCCCAGGTAACTTGTGGCACAGTGATTAAAGTGCTCCACTGTCCCCGAAAGGTTGGCGGTTCAAACTCACCACCCAGCCAGCGGCTCTTGGAGCAGGGTGCAGAGTCGCAGGTCTGGACCCTACAGTACAGTGCTACTCTGTGCCCCCAAACCAAACCACCCCGCTGCTATGGGCGGCTCTAGACTGCCTCTTCTGTCGCCCTGGAGGGGCTCCCGGTGGGCAAACTGCTAACCCTGTGGCCAGGGCCCAACATGTGACCCTCTGCAGCTGCTCTAAGAATGAACCGCTTGGCAGCACTAGCCCAGGCCCCCACCTAACTCATGGGGGCTGGGGGAGACGAACATGAGCTGGGGGGGTCTGCAGGCCAGCATCCCAAACTAAGGAAAGCAGGAGGGTCCCCCAAGAGCTGGGTCAGCAACCCCCAGCCCCAAACTGCTGACTGGTAGCCCCCCTGGGTCTTTAAAGCTGCCAAGTTCACAGGCGCACACAACAGCCTCATCTTTCTCCAGAGGAGCAGCTGGTGGGTTTGAACCAGTGACCATCTGGTTAGCAGGCATGTGTTTTAACCCTTGCACCACCGGGGCTCCTTGGGGGCATGTCAGGGGCACAATGCTGGTGTGAGCAGGTAGGTGGCCACCTGCCTTTCTGCTCAGACCTCCCAGTGGACCCAGGGCCCCTCGGACCACTGCCCTCCCAGCCGGGCTGGGTACGGCCCGGCTGACAGGGCAGAGCTGCCCACAGGCTTTTCCTGGCTGCTCCCTTGACGGAAACAGCCGAGGTGCTGGTGGTGGGGTTGAACCATGGACCTTTGGTCAACAGGCTGACGGGCCTGTGCTTCCACATTGTTGCTGGGGGTAGGGGGGTGTCCTTAAACCCTCTACCTTTCCACGACCAGTCCAGCACATGCCTTGGGGCTCACAGGTAACCAGGTGTTCTCAAAGCAAATAAGCAACCCTTCCCGTAATCCGCCCTCCAGGAGTTCACTCTGTTACTCCTTGGGGGGGGGGGTTCTCTAAGACACACACACACTCACACCCAGACCCAGAGCCCACTCCCTAACGTGGTTCCCCTCCTCCCCAGCGCTGCTGACCACGACGGGAAGCACCCACCACCTAGCACTGCCATCCATCCAGTGGGTTCCAGCTGACAGTACCTCACAGAACAGGGGAGGCCTGCCCTGCAGGTCCCCAGTGCCCAGTCATGAGCAGCCGCCACCTCCTCCTCCAGATGTGTCTCCAGCTTCAACTTGAACTTGAGGTTGAGACCTATGGTCTGTCGGTCCCTGGCCTTCCTCTCGTCCTCTCGGAGGGAGTCGATTCTCATGTGTCCCCTCTGTGAGCTGCAGGGCACAGCCAGCATGTGCGTTGTTGATGACAGTTTTATCCGATGAAAGAGAGGGAGCTCCTCATCTTTGTGCTCTGCAAGCCCACCAGCACCTGTATGCCAGCCGCCAGTGCTCCGCTGATGACCCCCAACCCCACCCCCGCCCTGGAGTTAACTCTGACTCACAGCAAGCCTCGTCTTTCTCCTTGGAGTATTTGAGGCCCTGACCTTGAAGTCACTGGCCACCGCCCCACCCACAGTGCCACCAGGGCCTCTTAGTGACCAGGGTCCCTGTAAACGACCTCCAAACACTGGGGAGCCAGAAATGACTCTCGCTGCCACGTTCGCTCCTGAGGCATGCCTGCGGTGACGCCAGGCTCCCAGGAAGACGGCAGAAGAGAACGGTCCCTGGGCACCCATCAAGCTCAGGTGGCGCTGGAGCTAGGTCTGAGTGGCCATCACCAAACCAAGTGAGAAGCCAGCGTGGGGGGCTAGTAGAATCACGCTCCTCCCAGCTAGGGGCACTCTCCAGGGATTCAGTATCCATCTCTCCTCTCCCCTCCCCTCTCTTCCCTTCCCCACCCCTCTCCTTTCCTCTCTCTCCCCAGAGGGGTGGCTCCCTGGGTCCCATGCGGTTGTAAACCACGATGCCACAGAGGAGGGTTCTTTCTTTTCCTGAGGACATAGGATCAAGGACACAAGGGGGATGAGAGGATGGATGACCGTAACAACATGGCGGCTGGCAGGGGCTCCTGCAGAAACGTCGACCTGAGACGCTCCCCCTAATGGAGGGAGCGGGACTTTATCACAGAACCCATTGCCGTCCTGTCCAGTGTCCAGCTCTTAGTGGCCCTCTGGACTGAAATGCCCCTGTGCGTCTCTGAGAGCAGCTTTTTAGTGGAGCAGTCTTTCTGACCCCGAGCAGCTGGGGAGCTTGAAGCTCCGACCCTGCTGTGGCAGCCCAGCCCCAGGGCCACCAGGGCTCCTTCCGTAGAAGAACATCGTCCTCAGATGTGCAGGCTCATCGCAGGCTGGGAGGCAAACACCCAGTAGTCAGCAACCCAGGAGAAGCCGGCCCCTCACAGAGCTCTGCAGGATGGTCTTAAAGGGCCTGGGAGTGGAATTCTCACACACACACACACACACACACACACACACACACACATCTTAGACACATTCATCATATACACTCATCATACACACATACACCCATGCATGCACACACACTCATCATACACTCACACACGCGTGCGTGCGCACACTGCCTGAGGAGGACAGCAGGTAGTGGTGCAGCTACCCTCAGACTTGCTGCTGTCCAGTCCGTCCGGCTCTCGGCGCCCCTGGCGGCCAGGGTAGAATTGCCCCTGGGGCCTTCCAAGACCATCCATCTTCACCAGCGCCCACAGCCTCACCCTTGCTGTGACACACTGCAACAGGGCCTCGGGCAGCAAATGGTTTTCCAACGCCGCTTCCAGGGACGCTGACTGTGCATCGGGGTGCAGAGGGGCCGCAGCCACTTGGAGGCAGGTCTGAGGAGGGCATCTGCTGGGAGTTGAAACGGGGTCTTCTGCATGGGAGGTCAGGCTTCTACCCTGAACCCCGCTATCCGGAGACCTAAGCAGTGATTCTCAACTTTCCTAATACCATGACCCTTTCATACAGTTCTTCATGTTGTGGTGGCCCTGTACGTGGGCATATCTGCATGTGGGTGGACCTGCCTGGAGACAGATAGAGGAGCGGTGTGACCACTGTGAAAAGGTCGTTCGACACCCCCCCAAGGGGTCAAGACCCACAGGTTGAGAACTGCTACCTAAGAGGCTTTATGTCAAAGTGCCTCCCATCATGCTATTCTATTAGGACAGGGCAGACATGCCCGTGGGTTCCCCAGGCTGTACCTCTCCAAGGGAACAGACACAAGGTCTGCAGAGTGGCCCTGACCCTGGGACAGCACTTCCACCGGGCTCTCTTTGTCAGACTCCACACCATGTTGATTGGAAGCCCTGCTCGCCCCACATGGAAAGGCCAAAAGCTGCCAGCTGACCGGAGGATGAGTAAGTGACAAGCTGCCACGTGTCCCCCTCCCACAGCTGTGTGATGGTGGCCCCAGACGTCCCCACAGTGCCCTGGGCACATGCTGGCCCCACAAAGAGCTGCACTGTGTTCTGCTGACTAGTTAAGCAGCATCAGACCTTAGGCCTGACCCATGCTGGCCCCTCAGGTCTGGTCAGCCCCCAGTGCTGCCTCCACTCCATGAGAGAAGCCACCACGTGTCCAGTTCCCAAGCCAGCAGCCTGGCCTGTGTGACCTCTCCCTCAGCCCCAACTGCCTGCCATCTGCCATTCTCACTAGAAAATGACCCTCCAGTCTGTCCACCAGCCTGCCTCTCTCACACAGCTGCCCAGCTGCCCAGACACCTGTGTGCATGTCCCAGGCCCCTCTTACCACAGTACAAGCTGAGTAGCCTTAGGACAGGAATGTATCAGCCCACAATTTTGGGGGCAGAGTCCAAAGTCCAAGGGTCCGTCCGCCATATTGGTTCTTTTGGAGTGCTGGAGGGGGGTGGGGGGGGTGGAGAACTGGCTCCACCCTCTCTTCCCCTCCTCTCTGCCCCCACCCTCTCCCTCACCTTCTCTTCCCCTCCCCTCTCCCCCCATTTTCTCTCCCCCCTTCTCCTCCAGCATTGCTGCCCCCTG